CCGCGCTGTGATTGGCTGGCTGTCTCCGAGTCCCGCGCTGTGATTGGCTGGCCGTCTCCGGTTTCCGCGCTGTGATTGGCTGGCTGTCTCCGAGTCCCGCGCTGTGATTGGCTGGCTGTCTCCGAGTCCCGCGCTGTGATTGGCTGGCTGTCTCCGAATCCCGCGCTGTGATTGGCTGTCGAGCTGTGGGCGTGTTAAGGCGGGTGTTGCTGGGAGGATTGCTGTGATTGGCTGCCGCTCTGTCAGTGTGTGAGGCGGACATGGCGGAGCAGCCGGAGCTGAGCGGTCTGAGCGATGAGGAGACTTACCGCGTGTGCCGGGACCCGGACCCCAGCACCAAGGTAACCGCCACCATAACCACCGCGAGTACCATAACCACTGCACGGCTACCACCATAACCACTGCACGGCTACCACCATAACCACTGACTGTACCATAACCACTGACAGTACCATAACCACTGCACGGCTTCCACCATAACCACTGACTGTACCACCATAACCACTGCGAGTACCATAACCACTGCACGGCTACCACCATAACCACTGCACGGCTACCATAACCACTGCACGGCTACCACCATAACCACTGCACGGCTACCACCATAACCACTGCACGGCTTCCACCATAACCACTGACTGTACCACCATAACCACTGACTGTACCACCATAACCACTGCGAGTACCATAACCACTGCACGGCTACCACCATAACCACTGCACGGCTACCATAACCACTGCACGGCTACCACCATAACCACTGACTGTCCCATAACCACTGACTGTACCATAACCACTGACTGTACCATAACCACTGCACGGCTACCACCATAACCACTGACAGTACCATAACCACTGACAGTACCATAACCACTGACTGTACCACCATAACCACTGCACGGCTACCACCATAACCACTGCACGGCTTCCACCATAACCACTGACTGTACCACCATAACCACTGCGAGTACCATAACCACTGCACGGCTACCACCATAACCACTGCACGGCTACCACCATAACCACTGATAGTACCATAACCACTGACAGTTCCATAACCACTGCACGGCTACCACCATAACCACTGCACGGCTACCACCATAACCACTGCAAGTACCACCATAACCACTGACTGTACCACCATAACCACTGCGAGTACCATAACCACTGCACGGCTACAACCACTGACAGTACCATAACCACTGACAGTTCTATAACCACTGTACGGCTGCCACCATAACCACTGATAGTACCATAACCACTGACTGCGCAACCATAACCACTGCGAGTACCACCATAACCACTGCACGGCTACCACCATAACCACTGCGAGTACCACCATAACGACTGCACGGCTACTATAACCACTGACAGTACCATAACCACTGCACGGCTACCATAACCACTGCAAGTACCATAACTACTGACAGCACAACCATTATCACTGCACTGCTACCATAACTTAGAGCTGTGGCTCTACATAATTCATTTTCTGCACTTTCAGAGTGTAATGGTGTTATGGAGACAGGCTCAGGTACTGAGGGTAGCGGTGTCATGGAGAGAGGTACTGAGGGTAGCGGTGTCATGGAGAGAGGTACTGAGGGTAGCGGTGTTATGGAGAGAGCACT